TATATATGGCTTTCGGTGCACATTATAGTACAAGTATCACACCTCCAAGAAGTCCAAGACGGCGTTGATCGCCTCGCCGTCGCCACAGCTCAGTGCGCCATCCAGCAGCGCCATTTTCTGAGGCAGACTCTTGTGGTTGTCCAAGCGACACGCTTGCCCATTCCTACACCACGAGTGCACACGTGTGCATGGGTTAGGACTAGGACATGTGCACAAGAGATATACAATGCTTAAACCGAAGCACATGCCTGTACGGCTGCATGGGTTAGGACTAGGATATATGCACAAGGAATATACAATGCTTAAACCGAAGCACATGCCTGTACGGACAGTACAGTACAGTACATATCAGTACTGGTGGAATCAAAACCATGCGATAGTAACAGAAGACCATGGAGAAATGAGACACAACATAACAGGACAATCAAAGCAGGTGCGAACAGTACCAATATCAATGGGCCAGGACATACCACAGTGTGGTGATGGTGTAGTAACAAATGTGACAAAACATAACAGGACAATCAAAAACAGGTGCGAACAGTCCCAATATCAGTGGGCCAGGACATACCACAGTGCGGTGATGGTATAGTAAAAAATGCGACAAAATAACAGGACAATCAAAACAGGTGCGAACAGTCCCAATATCAGTGGGCCAGGACATACCACAGTGCGGTGATGGTAGCCTCCACATTGGGAGTGGCCCTGAGTACCAGCTGTTCCGAGAGAGTCCTGTTTTCCGCTGTAGCAGGTAGGTGCAAGTGCCATGCCAAAGGACCGGGTTTGGACCAAACAGACAAGAGTATATTAGAAACACACATAGAGGCGAGTGGGGTGGAGTGCCAACGTGGTATGGAGAAGGGGACTATGTGATAAGAATGAGTCACACTACCCACACGCACACCGTGTACCCGGACAAACACAAAAGGGCCGCCAAGGTGTGGGACAGGACAGAGTTGTGAGAAAGGCCTTGGCAATGGTGTCACCCAGCTAATTGTAAAACCCCGCCTACGCACACGCACGCGTGGGTGGGTGGTAGTAGTACAACATTAGGCGTAAGATTTCATAGACTACCCATGCACTTACATGAACTTGGGAAGCCAAAGGACACACATGTATACGTCCACGCACAGGTTTGTTATAATGTTTTCGGACATACACCACATTGAATCGAGAGGCGTGACACACATGGACACATTCATACACACACCCACGATGTTGAATCATCGAGTAGTCATATATAAATATATGCTCTCAAGGATAAATCAGACCAACACGCTTCGGTATATCATACAGTTCAACTTAATAGGACGAAGCCACCCCGTACGAATGCATGGCTATCCTCAACAGTACAGCTTTACGTACCTGTCAATTTCTCAATACAGTTACCTACCTGCCAATTTTTCAATCTGAAGTTCTAAATATTCGAACTTGGACAGGCCGAATTCTGGCGTTTCACTGCAAGTGCGGAGTAATGTCAAACTGTGTAGGTCAGTTTTGGACAAAGGTCTGTCGTGCCTGACGGAGGTGTACGGAACACACCGAAAACCCAAAACCAAACCCTAGTGGCCGAGTTCAAGTCAAACACTTGATTAGGAATGGCTCGAGATTCGTACCACGGCATAGCCCAGCCCGTCGAGATCGGACAGCTGTAAGCGCAAACTCTAACCACCTTACAAACACAGCACGCACTTAGAGTCTTCTGTACCAATTGCTTGTGCGCCAGTACTTGCACTGCAGGCCTCCTTGGCAAAGCATAGAGTTCGATTTCCGGGTATTGTATGGAGGTTGGGGATAAAAGTATATGTCTACAGCTGCATATGTGTAAAACGTACTTTATAATACCACAACCTCATACAACGCAGAGAGAAACGAAGGTCTACGGTGCATACTATCACACATTCTACGTGTAGCGTACTATCACACACTCGCTCATACATCAAGTCACAACCCCAAAGTCTCCCCATGCAACATACGCCTCCACATTAAATTAGAAACACGCATCTCTCCTCAACACTAGGAGCGTAAAAATAACAGGAAAATATCCGTTTGCTTTCCCCCCTAAATTTTCTGCCAGAATGTTGTCAAGCCTGTCCAATTATTGTGAGACACTTCTATACTAAAGCTTCCGTGGGGGTTAAAAACAAGCAGGTTATTGGTGGTCCAGATGTCTTTCACTGTTACGATATAAACTGTCTATTAGTACCTAGGGGGAGCACCATTCAAGAACGATAATCAAATAGTTATCTGAATCCCTATGACTACATGGTAGAACTTTAGGATTTCTGGCTCACACATTGATTAGATTATCTTGCCCTATAGACTTGTTCTGTGCTCTGATGTGATAGTCGATAGGCTTTGAAATAAAGGGGTGTACCGGTAATTTTTAACACACATTGATTAAATTATCTTACGTTATAGACTTGTTCTGTGATCTAATCTGATAGTCGTTGGGACTTATTATAAAGGGGTGTACCGGTAATTTTTAATTTGCCCGCATGCGGAGTTTTTCAACTTCCCAGTGATTTGAACCTTAAACAAGTGAATGATATGATAAGAGTCCAAGAACATCACGCCTACATGGGGGTGTTCTATGGTACCCATGAAGAGTGTTGTTTTATTCACCCCTACCATCATATTTCCAAGGCATGTAACTACCCCCTCTCGTACGTTTATATTCACACTTTCATTTTCTACCACCCCACACACCCCGCATATTTATATATACACTTGCAATATCTACACCCCCACACACCCCGCATTTTTATATATACACTTGCAATATCTACACCCCCACCCCCCCCACCCCACCACACACATATATTTATATTTACACTTGCATGCAGCACTCTCACGTACTCGTCTCTGTCACTGATGTCATCGAACGGATTGTCGTTAAAACCCTGCAACGGCTTAAACCCTAGAGGACTCATACGGGCACTAGTTCTCACAGGACTGCCGTCGTCCGATGAGTTTTCGCGACTCAACAACCGCATGTGCGGTGAACTGAACGCAAATGCAGAGGAATGAAGCAGGTTGGAATAACATAGGAACTGCGACGGTTTCGGCATAGAGTAAGGCACTAGTAATAGTACTTCAGGGCAAGGGCAAATAAAAAATAAAATCTGTAAGACTGTAGAAAGGAATAAACTGTGAGATAGAAGAACTTTACAAAAGGTGCGTGGGTAGCAGATACTATCACGGCAAAAATAGTGATCTGAACGTGCAATACTACACACAAGCGTTCATATATACACATACAAACACGCATACACACAAACACAAACGTATATATATAATAATATATAATAATAATAATAATAATAATAATAATATTATTAATAATAATATATAATATATATATATATACATATAATTGAATAATATATTTGCATATACATATAAATCTATAAAAA